ATAAATAGCTATCAGCAAAAGCTGAATGTGCTTATTGGCAAATCATATATTAAAGCCAACTAAAATTTGATGAGCATTTAGTTGATTTTTTCTTATTGTGCAATGTGTTGTTCAATTAATTACCCATTATTTTATTACCAAACAAGTATTTCCAAAAGTCAAGGCAATAAATTTTATAGTAAAGTAGGATATGAAATGCTTTCAAGACTTTTATATTTTCATATCTCAAAATTTCACGCTCCAAGTCAGCGCAACTGAACAAATGCCACCTAATTTATTACCATATAACCTAAACTCCGTAATAAATTAGATTACAATTCTCCCGAAATGAAATTACGATAAAGTTACACTTAGCTGCAATCAATACGCCAAGTTAAAATTGATAGCGTAAATAAATCTTGGTTTCTTGGCTCCGTCGTATCATCTTTTATTACTTCGGCTACCGGCAATGAATCTTAAATTACTGACGAAAGTGCCGAAAAAATAATAAAAAATCGATACAAGCAAAAGGCGGTGTTCTGAATTTGGGAAATTGCAGTGGTGTTATAAAATCGACCTATCCCCAACGAAAAGGGCAACGCCAGTCCGTTGGTCCCTCTGCGGGGGGGATGAATAATACAAAGTCTAATTTAAACCCCAGTCAAAGGGACAGAGTTTGGGGCCATGATTTATTTACGCGCAAATGTACGTTTGAAATTTTGTTGGAAACGGGGGATAAACAGTGCGAATTGCGCAAGAAACAAAACGTTATTTCTACAGATTAGCCATTCACAAAAGCTTAAATTTTTCAGACCGCGAGAGTGTTTATAGAATTAAAATTCATTTGAAAAGTTTGCATGTAATGCGCACAGAAGTTTCAGGGCAACTCATTTACATCAAAATATATCTACAAAGGTATACGCACGTGTTCATAAACTTTAGAGATGAATCATCGTTTGAATAAATAAAGAAATAAAATTAATATATTAATATTTATTTTACAAAAAGCTACTTAATATAAAACTATATATTCTATATTTTACATTCAAATGGATTATATATCCATTGAAAATTTTTTACACGACAGCAAACTTTCTTTGTTATAGAAGAAAATAGGAAAATGAACCTTATTGATCCATGGTATATGTATATAGAAACATATACATATAGAAACTTATGCATATGCTTATGCATATACATATCTACAAACAAACATATACATATGTATACATTCAAATAAGAGTAAGAATGCTAAAAAAATGTGTAAACCGCAAGTGTATATATATCGACTAGATGTATTCCCAAATATATTTAAGTCTTTGCACGTTCAATGTCTCTTGAGACATGGCGATATAGACTACATTGAAACGTCTAGGAATCAAACAAGAAATTACCACTTCAACTACCTATGGAGTTTGTTTTCAAAATCGAAGACTTCTCAAACAATGAACTGTTAAATGGTAAAATATTTAGACAGCAAAATTTTTTGCAAAATGTAAAGAGCTTGGCTTTGGATAACATAATGCACAGATAAAAGATCATTGAGTAGTAAAAATATTCAGTTCATTATGATGATAATATTTCAGAGCCATTGAATATATTTTGTAATTTTTTATTTTTTTTCTGTAAGAATAATTTATATTAATTATATTATCATATTTTATGAACAACACACTTGGATATTTAATTGTTCCAGTTTTATATTACGATGTACATAAGAATTCATACGTTTCTAGTATTTTTTGCTTTATGTATTAATATAAAAAACCAGAAGAATATATTCCGCCAAATCTTATCATCAAACATATAATAGACTATTGTTATGGCAATGCTATGTAATGTAGCGTTTTTCATATAAAATGGTACTAAAAACTGTCAAAATGTTATGTGGTTATTGTGCAGTCAGGCGTTTTAGATAGAAAACATAACCTAAAAAACACATAACCTAAAAAACACATAATCATAAGTGCATTTTTGTGATGTGCATTTATAATACATGCGGTAAGTTAGATTTTATGTGTAAATGGCTGATCGCACAGCAAATACATAGCATTTTGACAGTTTTTAGTACCATTTTATATGAAAAACGCAACAATACATAGCCTTGTCATAACAATGGTCTATTATACGTATGATGATAAGTTTTGGTGGAATAAATTCCTCTGGCCATTTATTTCAATACATTATTTGTAAATGTCTGATTGGCCAGCAAATAGCATTTTGACAGTTTTTAGTACCATTTTATATTAAAAATGATACGTAACATAGCCCAGCCACATTAGTTCATTTTACGGCAGAATCGGTTCTTTTACCTTTTTTTAGATAAAAACTTATGTGGTGCAAAGAACTTATCGACCATGCTACGGAACCACAAAGTGCGAAAAGAAGGACAATTGTTTATTTTTTTTTATCATAATGTGATGCATTAACACAATCAAAATAAAAAAATCGATAAGAATATAAGCAATTTTCAAGAATGTTTTTATTATCATATAAGTGTTGAAATAAAGAATAACACTGATTGGAATTCCTAGCCCTCGGTATCACAATTTCGACTATAGCCAGACTTATGACCTAGATCGTTTCTATCAACTAAATTGTTGTAAATTCCCAGTCGTAAAAATATACATTACTATAAATTTCTATAGAGCCAGTAGCTCACAATCAGAACGGATGGCTGATTTTCGAATGACGGGTTCAAATCATTCTTCCTTTCGTTGAAGATTTACCACGAAGAAAGAAATAAAATCAAGATCACAAGAAATCACGGCCGGAATCCCGCAGGAGTAATACAAACGATTTCCATTTGTTTTTATACCTTCGCCTTTTACACGCTCACTTTTTTTCGCACTTAACTTTTCGCAATGGCAAAACGAGCAAGATGCGAAATAGCGTGCGCCGAACATTTCAGTTGCACGCACACATAAAGCTGCCAATGCACACGTCCGTGCTTTATGGACTAAGTTAGCAGTTACATCTGTAATTATTTCATGAAGAGCTTGTATTTTTTATGCTTATATTACACTTTCTTATGGTATCAATAAAGATTCCGATCTGGTAAATGAAATTATTTTAATTTCAATTGATACAAAGGCTAACCGTGTATATTATTCACATTGCTTGATAATACTCCTAAACGATTATTAGGATTTTGATATATCTTTCTGAAATTTGTTGAGGGATTTTTTTTAGAAATTTTTGAATTATAGAAATATAGTTAGATTGTTCAAGTTAATGGGAAAAATGATAAAAAACCGCTTAGCAATGATTGACATTGAAATATTTGAGGCATTGTTTGACAATTAAAACAAATGAAGACTGTCATCTGTAAATCAGAATCGCATGAAATAATTGCTATGTCTTCGGCGTAAGTGCATATGGTTAGAAAATCATCTGTGGGCACATCGTTTGTAAAAAGAAGAAAGTACTGGGCTTAGCACACTGCCCTGTGGTACGCCGCTTTCTATATTTCTAATGCTCGAAGTCATATCTTTAGTTTTGATTCTGACAATATTAAAATATAATATATATTCATGATTATAAATAAGAAAAATTTAATGTCTACATTATTATTGCCGAAAAGCAGTTGAGATATCTCGGAGAGTCTCATTTGTATGAAAGTTATTATACAGATATTATATTACGAATTGTTACAAATTTATTTTGGTATTTATACAATAATACATGTGATAATTTCCGTGCATTCTCATTCTAATTTATTTTATTCGCCAAAATTTTAACGTCCCGTAGGTTGAGTTATAGTAATTGCAAAAATAAAAATGGAAAATAACAATTTTAATATATCTTTAGTTTCAAAACTTCCTGAAGATTTTAGCATGCCTTAGAAAAAAAGGATGTATTTGTGTATGAGAGTATTTGTATGAATACAATTTTTTGTCCACGATGTTGAGATCAACCATTTTGAATGATTAATATAACATTCGATTCGTATTGATAGCGAAACGTGCTAATTAGTTTTTGGTACAGGAAGGTCCAGCCGTTTCGGAGATACAAAGCAAAAAGTGCAAAAAATGGCAGTAGATTTATGTACATTATTATTCATTCATATACATGTAGTAATATTGATACACAGATGACATGTAGACAGGTAGACAGGTAGACAAGAAGGCTGATTGATTGGTAAGCAGATTGACTGTTGAGAAATTAAGCACGTAAATAAGTACCAAAGTAGACAGGTAAATGGGTGAACAGGTACGCAGGCTCAAAAGTAGACAATTTGACAACTTATACAGGTAGTCACTTGAACAGGTTAACAAGTATTCTGTTAGAGAGGTAGACCATATACAAATCAAATATTTAATATTGATCGACATATCGGGAAGTTCATGCATCTTGCCTTAGGGCAAAATGCTACTTACACCTAGTTATGGTTTTGGTTAGTCAATGAACAAGATAATTTTTTTAACAAATATTGATACTATTTGATAGAATAGATAATAATTATTCATCTGGCATATATTCGAGTTTGTAAGTATGAACCATAGAAGAAATGATTTTGTAATTGAATTTTATAAGTTGCATTTTTGGTTTTTAGTACTTTGTATAATCTATACAATCTATCAAATTTGCAATTAAATTATCACTCATAGCAATGCGTCAGACATCTGCTCATTTCTCAACATTCCTCACCTTCATCAAACATGTCAAAATTTTGTAAAACCTAATCCCTCATATTTGATACATCATTGCATTTGGGAATATTAAATGCCAAAACCAATTTGCGCCCATTCATATACATGCTAATGTGCTTTGAAAAAAATTAATGACCAATCGAACAGATGATAGATCTAAAAATATTGAGATCTGCATTAATGATAAGCATTTTAATGCGTTTTCATATCAGTCGTTTATTATATGTAAAGCAACTAGATATTGAAAACAATATTTTTAAAACGTGTTTTTTTGACAATTAAAACGATTCTGAATAAAAAATAGACAATTTTTTTGACGTCTTACAATACATATAATCTAATTTTTTTAACAGTTAACAAGTCAACAAATTAATTATTATCGGTTGTTGGTTGGTTTGGTAAGTTGATCTTGGTTCGGCCAAATAACTTCTTCAAACGTTTGCCAATTTTCCATTTTTTCTTATTGGCGGTAGAACCGCTTGAATCTTTGCTAGATTTCGATTGTTGAACACTGTCGGCAGAGGCGATTTCAACTTTCTGATTGGGATTGTTCTGTTGCGAAATTCCTGGTGAAGGCATTGCACGTCTTCGCAGCCGAATTCCCGGAAGCGCAATCAATGGACTAAAAGTGCTCTTAAACGTTTATCATCTCTAACTACTATTTTATACATATACACAAGAATAGGTAATTCAGTGGTTTCCAACCAGTGGAATAGATAATTCAGTGTTTGCGCCTATGTTAATATTCCCAATGATCTCATTTCATAAATACTCAACTTATATTTTATTTATCGGGCTACAAATCAATATGCAATATTATGTGAAAGTATACATAACATTTATTTATTTATCATTTTAACATTTTTGTTTATTTTGGAAATAGTACTTCGAAAACAGTACCTCTCCTTGAAATGGCCCAGCGCTCCGCTGAGGGGATACGATTCAAAGTTTGGAAACCACGGAGATAAATTTGATTGATTTTTAAAAATTGATGTAAGGTATAAAATGGAATACATTAAATCACTAGGATTTGAATTATCTTTAAATCACCCATCATCGAATAATTTTAATCAAATATGTGCAATCAAACACATTCAAAAAGTTCTTGTTTATAATCTCCTTAAAAAAAAACGTTTTTATTAAAGAATATCTTGATTGCGTTATCACTAAGCATAATAAATATTTGCAAATTATTTGCAATAAAAATATAAAGGATCCTTCAAGTATTACGCAAGAAGATTTATTACAATTATTTACCCCCCCCCCACCCTCCTTGTCAGCAAAAGTAAGTAAAGCTCTTACAGCCTACCCCCATGCTTATGTAAACATTTTGCAATTAATGTATTGTTTTTTTAAATATTGTAATTATTAGGTTATAATTATAATTTTAAAAATAAAAAAATAGGTATAGGATGTAGAGATTTTACTGATATGGTATTCAACATAGGAGTAATAAAATTATTATAATCTTACGTACTTAACAAACATATTTTAAATTTTTGGTACTCGTAAAAACAATGTAAGGTTGCCATTAAAAAAATTAAAAAAATTAAAATACTACCTATGACGTAATCATCATCCAGACTCCCCTGCCCTCCATGTCAACCCAAAATAAGCAACTCAATAACCCCCCCGCCCCCTATAGTGCTTACGTAATACTTGAACGGAAATAATGCACATTAAAAAATACTTATAAGTTGCGATCAGAAATCAATTATTAGGTTTTAATATGGTTTTTCTCCATATTTGATTAAATGATGTAATAAAAAATATGGATGTCCTCAATCACTTTGAAGCGAAAAAGTTAATCCATTGTTCTATTACAAATTCAATATTATTTTTACGAAGATTATAGTATCTTCTATACATAGAAGTTGAAAACTTCTTTAATTAAACCCAATCAACAAGTTCTCTTTTATCATCTCCTTCAAGAATCCGCTTTTATTAAAGGGTTTCTTGATTATGTTATCACTAAATCCCTAATTATCACCTAAATTCCACCCCGCCTGTCAGGATCGTCGTTCGTACAGGGATTCCGGGTAACTTTTTCGAGATGTCGTCCAAATACTTTTCATCCTCCTCTGTGCCGTCGTCATGCATTATGACTTGAAGTGTTTGTTCATTAGTTTCCTCCCACGCCGCTAAATCTTCGTCACTAAAGCAGTTGACCGAAAAGGTTAGCCGAGATATTCAATAAATGAAAACAAATTTGGAGCTTTTATAAAGGAATCTAGGGCACGCTGAACTCTTATTTTAGCGTGATATTTAAATTATTTTGGAACGTATCAAGGCATGTTTTCATTGTGGCATGTGGTTTGGAAAGGTTTCTAAATTTAATCTCTTTCACAATGGAAAATGAGAATTCTATTAATAAATGAGCTTCTAATCCAGAATTTCCATTAATGAGAATTGAACATATTTTATTCAACAAGGTGAAGATGTATTCGATTTAATTGACCAACTAATTGAGTTATTGTAAGCAAAATGCTTTAGCGAAAATTATTGTTATCAGGTTTTTTGAACTCTATTTTTTTATGAAACAATCAAGTTTTTTACTATTGTACAATCCTTATAAATGCGCCTAATTTTGATGGAACTTGCCAACACACTTTAGTGCATTTTTTGAAGGAGAGCTTCCCAAAGTCCATTAATTTTGAAAATTTTAAATTCATTGCTTAACAAAAGGTCTTATTACTTGAAAACTTGGAGCAAATGAGTCATTATTTTTGATCGTGATCCTAGAAATGTTAAGCACGATTAAAGATACAAAATTTAAATAAACAAATTTTATAAAAATAAATAACTTTCAATGCACGTGATTTTTTAAAAAAAAATTATGATCAATAGTATCACTCAATCCAGAAATAACATTTAGATTCTATAGAATCTGTCGTGTCTAAATAAGTGCAGATTATGTATCTTTAAGGGGCACAACTAGTGTAAAATTTTCAAAAAATCAAATTTTCAATTTTTTCATGTTTCGATAGGTTACAGCTTTAAAAATAACATACCAAAATATTAAATCGATATTCTCAATTGTTTATGAGTCACAACCATTTAAAGAGTATATATATATATATATATATATATATATATATATATATAGTATATAGTACAACGATCATTTTATCTTTAAACGCGTTTTTCTCGAAACAGCATTTCCCCAATTTGCTGCAACAATTACTCAAAAACAAATGATCCGATCACTTTCAAATTTTTTTTACATGTTCTATATATAGTTCTGCGTAAAATAAACTATCGATTTTTTGATCGGATCAAAAATCGAATTTTGGCAGTCCAAAAACGGCCAAAATTTTGGGTAAAATTCGATTTTTTTTAAAAACCGCCTTCTTTTTGTCAATTTTTGATTTTTTTTTATCGTAGTTGATTTTACAGACAATATTATCTAGTTTAACGAGATTTTTTTTAAATTTCATCCACGTAGAAGGCCGGAATCACTGCAGCAGTTAAGGGCGTTTTTTTGTCGCGCTGTTGGAGATCGACGATAACTTAAAAAATATTTAATTTTTTTCTTCAAAAATTTTACTATGTATTCTTAAAACATGTATAAATATATTCCTAAAATTTTGAAATAATTGATAAAGTAGTTTTTTTAATATAAATTCCCAAAAATCACCCTTTTTCAGGCGGTTACACTAGTTGTGCCCCTTAACATACTTTGAGTACCTAAAAGGGCTCATTAATCACGTGTTTGATTTTTAAGGATTTATAGACCCTCCCTTAGTGATACGTGGTGATTTAAAATTATCGCGCCTCCCCAATCAGGCGATATTGAGGAATTTAAATATTTTATTCTTATTTGAATGTTATTGAATATTTACACATCAAGTTTATTTATAGTGCCAAGAAAAAAATGTAACATTTTTTGAAACTGTTGGAACAATTTTGGATTTTTCCTAAGTTAAGGTAAAAATAAAAACACGTGATAACTTACTACACCTTCTCTGCCCTTTGTGATATTTCGTGATTTTTGTTAGAATTTTTCCCTCCTCAAATAGATTTGAAAATAAATCACTAACAAATATGATCCAAATCCAGTCGATAACAAAAATCCGTAACACTTATCATAGTTCAGTTAACTACACTTTGCCTTCCCTTCGAATTACGTCTATTAATACAAGTCGGAACATCGTTCTTATTACGATGGGTGCTAATAAATGTACCTAGAAGACAGCTGCAGCTGCTGGTCGAAACTGCTGACCACCGCCGAAATGCCGGTCGAATCGGCCGCACCAGTAGAGACTATGGGATCACCCACGCAGCGCCATATTGCCCGGTCGTCGTTGTCTGTTGTCGAAGACGGTATCGTTTGGACGTCTCCTTGGCCCTCGCTGACAGGGGTCAGGGAGTCGCTGGGAGAATGGCTTTCGTCTAATAGGATAGAGGATTTTTTTTAGGGCAGGATAAATTTAAACTTTTAAACCTCACTCACTACTTGCGATTAATTCAACGCATTTGGGAAACTAATGTTTCCTGGTTCCAAATTCAGTATATAAACTCTGTGTAAATTTTGAATAATTTAATCAATATCCACGGCTTGTTTATCGTCGCACAAGTGTAACGGCTAATGGCTTGATAATCGATTATTGCTAAGCTATATTTTGATTTGTATAACTAATAAAGCGGTAACTAGAAGTCTAGAATAGTTTTTTTACGATTCTTGAGAGAAAGGAACATTCGATTAGAATGATTCAATAAACATTTCGATATATAATTAACTTCCCGAAGGAGAAGTTTATGTTTTCATAAAAAAATCCGATTCGCTAACTTTATGTTTTCTCGACGTTTCAAGTCATTCTGAATCGAATAAGACCAAATTTAGAAAAAGTATATGTGTGTGTATGTGAACAGATTTTTTGCTGTAAATCGACGTTTTCTCGAAAACTGCTGGGCCGATTTCAAAAATTTAAAAGCCATTCGATGTATCTCGACGAGGACTATCGTTTGTCAGTTTTGTGGGACGATCGGCCGAGACGTTTCTTTATAAATAGCAGAAAAGTAAAAAAATTTTCGTCCACGTTTTAGCCCACAAATTATAATGATTATAAAAATTCAAAAACCGTTCGAAAGATATTGATTGGGAATCGTGCTGATTAGTTTTTGGTAGAGATCGGCCGGGCCGTTTTGTTGTAATAAAGTGTTAAAAAAAATTTTCGACGATTTTTATTATTATTTTTATGGCGGTAGATACTATAGTCTTCTAGATCATACTAAAATATTACGGCCCTACGACAATTGGTTTACCTTTGAAAATTCGTCAAAGTTTGCAAAAATTGGTATCGTTTTTTTGGCATTTGTCAAAATTAGACCTTTTATCGACGTTTTCTCAAAAATGCATAAACCGATTTCAGAAATTTAAAAGCCATTTGATGTATTTCGAGGAGAACTATCGTTTGTCAGTTTTGTGCGACGATCTGCCAAGCCGTTTCTTTGTAATTTGAAAAAAAGTGTTAAACTTTTCGACCACATTTAAGCTCATCCTACCGAACCGATTTTAAAGAATCAAAAACTGTTCAAAAGATATTACTTGGGAATGGTACTGATTAGTTTTAGGTGAAAATGTACCGACCCGTTTTCTTGTAATTAACTGTTGAAAAAAAAATTTAAGCCGATTTTTATGGATTTTTTTTAGCTATATATATCATGGTCTAATAGAACTTACTGTTCTATTACGGCCTTACGACAAGGAGTTTAATTTTAGGAATTCATCAAAGTTTGAGGAAATGAGTAGTTTTTTTGATGTTAGCTAAAATTAAAATTAGACGATTTACTTGGTCTTAATAAACATACAAAACCATTAAAATCCTACGGAAACTGGTTCAAATATAATAATTGTTGATTTTTGAAAAGTTGCTTTTTGAAAATACTCCGAGTTAACGTGTTCGTTCGTTTTCAATTATGTGTAATAAATCCACTCATAAAAAAATTATTTTTTATTTATTAAATCGATAATTTACACATATCGGGAAGTTCATGTAACTTGCTTCAAGGCTAAATACCAATACCAACTAGTTCAATAAATATTTTGTCTATAAAATAGCAATGTGACCGATGCCATGCATCACTAGTTTTGAATTTAAACTGACGATCATATTAGAATTGTCTATTATATTAATCTATTATAAAGTTAATAAGCACAAATATTCTTTTCCCATTTCATCAGCAAGGTTTCTTTTATATTTTTATCCAATATCCCTTATAAGTAAAGTTTGTTCGCCGGATAAAAAGCCAAGAAAGTATCACTAGAATATTACCCAAATCGCCTTTTTTGGTGAACAAACAAGATTCGCCTTCCGTCGTTATGGTTTGCAGTTGACTGATCTTAGAAGAGATCACGCTGATGGCACTTTCCAAAATCTCATCCACGAACTTTGTGGCCATTACGCTCGTCTGATCGTCGCCTTCCATGTGTTTATGTTCTTCGTTTACCGGCACATGGACCGAAACTTGCTTTTGTAATTTCGACATCACGATATGAAATACCGACAACCGATGATTTTTCCTAGAAATTGGTTTTTTATCTATATCCAATAAAGATATTTATGACATTTATTTTCTGGACTCGTGTATCACAGAAACAGACAAGATAAATGTCGTGTAAATAATCGAAATAAAACTAATATGCTATGGAGTACTTACTTTCATGCATTTACGGATTGAAAATCATTTACAATCACCTTATTTTTTTGCTAAATTTTTAAATCAAAATTTTGTTGACGTCTAATCAAGATGGAAGCGAATCATTTGTTTTTTTTTTAATTTTTAATTAAAACAAATTAGGATAGATTTTACTAAAAGTCAACATCTATTTCTGTTTTTCTCAGTTCAGATTTCAGTCCTCAATTTTATGAAATTGAGAAATTTTATTATTTCTCATTCAGTTTCTCAATTATATGAAATTATAAAAATCAGTCACACACATACATATCAATTATAGATAATCAGAAGATTTTTAGTAGAGCCTTATTGGCGCCAAAATTGCATTTGTATCGTTGCAATGTACGATTGCAAGTGGTCAACTAACGAAATGTCTTCGTTATATTTTGTTCTTGAATATTTTCAAACTTAGCTATAAGTGGAATTCTGTCTTTACTCAATTAGGGCATCGTGCCTAAAGGCAAATTGCTGGAACTTCCCGTACCAAATATTATTATTTTTTTAAAAATGATTCACATTTTTGAAAAAAAACTGACTTAGAAAAAATTAGATTTTTGAGAAACTAGGAATTTGACAAAAAATTACTTTTGAATTTTTTTTTTTTTGAAAAAGAAATGTTTTCTTTATTTTGACATATTTTGGAAATTCTGAACTTTTTTTTCAAAGCAATCGTACTGCTTTAACTGCATAAAGACAAAATGTCAAAGCGCGTAAGCGCCGCGTCGCCGTCAAATGAATAAACATTGGTACGGAACCCATAGGAATGCAAACAAAATTTATACTTATTGTTAAGATCTCTATAAAATATCTGATAATTTGATGTGCATATGTCTAATAATCATTTGTGACCGCCAAATGGCATTTTTTTACTTTATTTATTAGATATCTGAAACCGCTAGACCTGCCTTTATGAAAATTTGACCAATTCTTCAACTTGTCAATACAAATAAGAAATAAATTATTCAAATCGAACGATCCGTTCTCTTAAAAACTGAGTTACCGTTTTTGGCACTTTTTGCACCGTATCTTCAAAACGGCTAGACCTGCCTTCGCCAAAAACTAATCAGCACGTCTCCTTACCAATACGAATCGAATGTTTTTTGAATTATTCAAATCGCTTCATCCGTGTTCCCGAAATCGTCGAAGAAAATTTGTATCCGCACACACACACGCGCATACACACACACATACATCCATTTTTTCTAAGGTATGCCAAAATATTCAGAAACCTCTGAAACATAAAAATATATAAAAATTTTCATTTTCGGGAAGTTAATAAAATAGGTTTCACGTTAAAGTTTTTTATAAGCCATCATTAACATCTGGATTTTTCTATACATTTCTACTCCTGAAAGTAACTTAAAGATTTCCTATATGACCTGGAATTACAAACACAATCGCATGTTCCTACTTCCAGACTATTTTCCCGTAGTGTCCAATTTACAACGCGAAGTTACTTTACAACACGATAACAATTTTGCAACTAACAAGTTTATTCGTCGATCGACAGAAATAAATTTAAGAGTATTCCGTTGTGTTTTCAGAGCTTCACGTCTTGTTTGCCGTGACGAAATAATAAATGGACGATTCGGAAGTCCGTGAGCACTGTAAAAGATTAATGATCATTTCCTTTTTGAAGGAATATTCAAAGAGCGTTTTATATGCACGCTACGTATTTAATTATATTCTGAACACTGTACAACAGAGCACAATAAATAACATGGCATTTGATATCGTGCACGAATATTACATTTCATACATTTAAGAATATATGCGAAATGAATTCTTGCAAATGCGGATATGTGACACTGTATCAATGTCTGCATACTTGAATTACTAAACGCACATACGAGTTTTGAATCTTCATATGAGTTTATTAGTTGCGTGAGATCTATATCTGTTTGCAGAAATTGCTATTTCATTTGAGGTATACATGTATGTGGTAAATGAGATGTAAATAAACTCTTAGAAGTTCATACACACGCATGGTGTAAAACATAATACAGAAAGGAAAATAAGTTAAGGGTTAAGGAAGAGTATCGCTTATGCAATCTTTCTTTCAAAATTTTGTTGTTTCTTCAAGATCTGAAGGGCTCACTCGTAAATAAGTGGCTCGATTTTGCTTCAAGTATCCTGTTGTCTGTAGTAGTAGTGGTTTTCGCTTGGAAATATATTTCCAAGTGAAAATAGCCCTCATTTGCTCCTGCCGCATCATTAAATATTCGCCAGTTATAGAAATTTTAATATTTCTTTATACAGAGTTGGAACAACTGTTCGACTTGCCATCCATAGAACCGACTAGTATTAAGTCTAATTAGCACAACAGCTTACAGGACTCTGAAGTTGAGATTGATGTCCAAAATAATAAAAAAAAACTGAATCATTTCATCGCTCTGGCATAGCACGTGAATATATTGGATGATACACTAACTTTCTTGGAACTCAACTATTTAAAATAACTCAATTTAATTCAGTATAAGATAGAAAAACAAAATTTTACCTTATACATACCTTTAATACAGTAATAACTTTTCGTAGATCAATACCCTTCCAAACCCTCATAATTCGTTTCGTATGTATTTCTTTTTACCGCGTTGTATAATTTATGATTTTATTATTCTTTTTTGCCGCAGGTCGTTCGCCACGTATAACGGAGCATCCCATGGACGCAGTTGCCGCTAAAGATGAACCGCTCACCCTAAATTGCAAGGCCTCGGGCAGGCCGCAGCCGCAGGTCACTTGGTACCAGGATGGGGCGCCGCTTACAAGAAGCGCGGGCGATAGAAGGGTAGTGCTGCCGGATGGGTCGCTACTGTTTTTAAGGTACGTAGGATATTTCAGGGTAAACAATTTAAAATGTAAGATGATGGCTCGTTGATATTATGTGCAAAATAATTCTCGCAAAGGAAGAACCAAAATTTTATTTAAAATGTAGTTCAACCATATTGGTAATGTTACGCTTATTAGCTCAAATAATTATATAAATGTAACAAGACGTAAGCAAAAGTTATATTACAACAAATATTAATTATACGTTTCGACACTTGATGTGTGTTATTTATTCAGAAGCTCAAGTAACTTCAATTTCGATTGTGAACGAATAAGCAACTTTTTGTCTATGTGGCATGATGTCCTCTCTTTCAGTTTTTGATTTAAATTATTAGTATTGTTGTTTTTTATTGATTTTTTAAATAATTTCTAAAATCATTATTATGTATGAGTATGTATTAAGTATCATGGATATTATTTACGTGACCCGTCCCGGTTTGGCCGGGATAGTCCCGGATTTCCACCTTGTGTCTCGAGTTTTTCTAAAAGCAATATTTGTCCCGGTTTTTTCGAAAACTAATAGTTAAATTAAAACATATCATGAAAACAAACGAAATTACAATAAATATTTTTTTCCAATTATGATAAATATTATGAAGAAAACTGAATAGAACATATAGATCGTAAAATAAAGAATCTAATAATGAAGATCTTACTAAAAGTCCACAATTCTGATTAAAAAAAATGATTTATATAAAAAAAATCATAAAAATAGCATTTATGTCCCGGTTGTGACTTAAAAATATATGGTTACCTTAATAATATGCAAAATAACACATATATTCATGAAATAAATGTAGTTATTTTGAAAGCTATCTATAAATATTATTCTAGTCTGTAATCGGTATCGCTAATGTATATGTCCTTTTTTTGTTTGTTGATACATGTTACTAACATCTTTATTAAATATTTATGTAATTACCTATAATTTTGTATTTATTTCTGGACATGATACATAAAATAGAAAAGTTCCTGTAATTTATATCAATGAACATAAACATTTTGGTGAACGAAATAGTGTAAAAGTAGAAAAGCTTTATACCTAGTTAGGGATTATAAAAAAAATCGATTAATATTTTTACTAAAATTATGCAATTATACAAACAGATGTTTTCTTTATCACATTTACTATCAAGTTGTTAGTTGTTTTGTGGAGAGTTTAAGCATTTATTTTTTACCTATATAGTTAGGATAACAATTAAGTGTAGAATTCCTTAGTTCATTCATAAAGTTTCAAAAATTTGGTAATATTAGGCGCAGCAAAAGTGATAAATAAATGGCCACAACAAACATGCAAAATACTGTTTTCGAAGTTCATTATGTCCCTGATATTTTATTTGAATGCTTAATTTGGCAAGCAGTACTCTAGGGTCTTTTCTTTCAGTATTACTTGTACGTGGGTTGACATGTCATCGCATGTTAGCTTATAATTAGTAATACTTCCATCTGTATATGTTTTGACAATGTAATTACATACAATATGCTGGGAAACAACAGTACGTCACCACGTTAGACGGTTGGCCATATTTCTTTTTGGCGAATTACACAATTTTCTCCGTGCGTTCGTATGCTATATTCTGTAATTACATAATGACCTGAAGCTATGAAGCTTTATCGCGTGGAAACATGTCTCTGGGGAGTTTTTTAAATGTCCGCAGAAAATGGAAAGCGAAAAAATTTCTGAAGTCATCATAATTTGTAGGAGCACTGGCACATTAAAAAAGGTGATCAACATGATAATTGCACATCTGTTTTTCTTCACATCCGAGCTTTTTCGCTAATTACTATCGCCGCGCTAGCGCCAGGCTATGGGCGTCGACTTTACGATATAAAACGGGCGCGGTTGATGCGACTGTAAACAAGCCGCAGAGATGAAACGACTTTTTAAAGTTGCTAAATATTTACTTCAATCATTATTAACTGGGTAATTAAAGTTAGTGCGTGCAAATTATATTTTATCGCTAGCCACATTAAATTAAACT